AAAAAAACAGATCTCTTTTATGATATGTATCTCGTGGGATAAACTGAGGTAGAATCAGAAACGGTCCGTCTCTTTTGTGTAGTACGTTCAGAATGACGCCTAGATGTAGAATTGGCGGTACACACGCAGAGACAAACTTAAATATTTTATTGTTGATTGGTATTCGCATCGTCCAGGTATATGCGCTTCAAGACGCATCTGATTCCGGCTGCAGAAATGTTGTCGACATGGAAATTGAATGGATTATTCAAATGTGTAAAGATCAGCGTGCCATCGCCGTGAACTCGTAAATCAGCCGGTAGAGCTTGGGCCGTACAAAAGCCGCAAGCGACGTCATGCGTGGCTTCAAATTCCACATAGACTAGTACCCATTTCACAACTTGAACAGAAAACCTCAATCGGTCGAACAACAATTTGAAATGACGTACCTTCTAATAGGAATATTTATTGTGAGGTACTTGGCATGAATTGTATAAGAAGATACGAGTTTAAAACTCGGAATGTTTCCAAAATGCACTTTCCTCAGTATGGGCTCTGAATTCGATAATCTTTATCGCTGAAATCATACATTCTTACTTCAACACTTCCACCACACAAAGTAAACCGGGTGAAATAAGGTTAGCTTACAACATTCATAAGTAGTAAATGCAAACTGTCTTAGAAAAATCCTGCTCTAAAAATCATACAAAACTGAGAGACACGGTTGCAGGGCATTTATTTACGGATTTTCTAAATCGAACCTATCTTCGTGTCTTATCTCAAATTATATTTCGTTTTGTGCTGCTCATATAAAGTGGTGTTAGAAATGACGAGATCTTTTCTTGCCAATCCAGTTGAAACAATCGCATCTCAGAAAACGGGATGTGTGTAGGGTCCCTGTTCGACTCGATCATTAGCATAAAATGATACCAGTGATGCAGAAGAACAAAGTTAAAATGCGAAGAAATTTATTTTTGCTATATCGTTTCAGGAATTTACATATTTAGCTCGATTATTGAATAGAATAATGCAAGGGCTAAGCTGAATTTGAATGAATGTCTGTGTGCAAACATTTTCCGTAGACAACAAGCTATCAAGTCACGATAGTCGGATAGGAAAAAGCCGGATAAAAATGTAGGATGAAAGAGAGTTGGTCAAGAATGAATAAAGCAGGTGTGAACGTGTGCGAAAACAAAGAGACAGTAGGTGAGAAGTGAGGATTCTCAGTGTGATGCCGAAATATTGGACAACTGGATTCTGTGAACCATTCATCATTACCGAGCACTTCTAGCAATTTACGAGCAGTAGTCATAAATTAGAGCTTAGTTAATCTTTTCTCTCTCGGCCTGAGTGCTTATCCAAGTCATGGACGTTGATCCGAAAATCTTCTCTCCTTTGGGCGTGCTTCATAAAACGTTGCGCCGAAATATGTCATCCCCTTTTTGAGATCCGCGAGCCTAGGTAATATCACATCAAATGAATAGGTTGTTTCTTCCTTTGTGCAATATTCATCAACTGATACTGCATCTCCATCGTTTCCCCTGGGTTGACTGCAATAACCCTAACATAATACCTTGTGGTTCAGCTTTGATAACCGAAGGTTGTTCTGATCTCCTAAAGCTTACTAACTTATCGAATATTTTCACAATTTCTGATTGGTGGTGGCTTCCGTATTCACTATTCTAAGAACGACCACGGAGGTGTTCCCATGGTGAACCTGAATCGAGAAATGTGACAATGGCAATAAGATTATTCGAAGACAGTTTGCATTTACTACTTGTAAATTTATTAGGCTAATCTTGATTCACCCGGTTTACTTTGTGTGGTGAAAGTGTTGAAGTAAGACTGTATGATTTTAGCGATAAGGATTATCGAATTTAGAGCCCATACTCAGGAAAGTGCATTTTGGAAACATTCCGAGTTTTGAACTTGTATTTTCTTATACAATTCCGTAACTCTTGTGAAAATTATGGCATCATTCGACAGCCCTTGTTACGTTATTTCTTTTGAGGCTCATTTGATAGAGATATCTCATTCCGTTCCAAAAATGTGGACAAACTGTTCATTTTGATTGTTCAGTGCTTAAAGTTGCTTCTACGGTGGTGTCACGCAGATGGATTATGACCTGAAAGTGTCAAACTAACTGGATACGAACCTGGTCAATACTGATGTGTATATCGATCAAGCATGATCTATTGGTGTCCCAGTGCATTCGCTTGAGCTGTAGCTTATGAATTCTATTACAGCTTCGTGCGATAGCTGTAAGCAATGGCTCAAGCGTTGATAGCGCATGATTCACTGGTATCACTGGGACACATACAAACTGAGTTGTACGCGTACTAGCAGGAGAAACAACCGATATGTATTCTATGAGAATTGAGGCGTGTGTGACCAAATCCCGTCACACCATCGTCCCCCGCACTTCAACGGGAGGTAGAGAGATCGGTGTTTCACTGTAGTCATCCAGACATCACTGGGAGGCGTTTCAGCAACCGGCAAGGTTCATGAAACCGTTTGAAATAGGGTGGGGGGGCATTTCTGGATGATACCGGGACAACTTTACTTGCAAAAGTTTTACATCTTTGTCAAACTTTTTTCTCTTGGGTATTCGCTGTTTTTTTGGTTTGGACAATATTATCCGTTGAATACCGGCCGATTTCACATTGGGACTTAAAGAATCTCACCGTGGATTGTTTTGATGCTTTTGATGAACTGGGCGAATTTTACAATCGGCGCACACGACCGGTTAGTAATTATTCACGTGACGGTTATGTGCCTGTCTCGACGACAAACCAGGCTTTGAATTTTCTCAACTGTGGCTGGCGACATCACTGTTCGGTTCCAAAAGTGCTCATTGGACAACTGCACCCTAATTTTCTCCTATATTTCTTGCTTTTTGTAGACGTGTTAGATGTAAATTATTTTCAAGTGGCAACGTCAGTCGACGTAGATGCGCATTCTTACAAACGGGGTGTTAGAAATGAAGGCGTCAATTTAAACTGCTTTTGGAATTTTTTATCGTGGCTTATTTTGTTGATTGGTAATTTCATGGAGGTAGTCGGCAATTTGTTGATGAGACTGTAGCCAGAATACTTAAAATAAGTAATTGTTTTCTGAAATGCATTCTGCCTAACGGAACACTTGGATTATCTTTCGGAATGTCGAGTTATTGATATTATTTCCCGCCGACTGAGTTCGGTGAATGACTGAACTCTATCATGGATTACCATTTTTGCTCATCGAAAATCAATTCATACGTGAAGCCGTAGTAAATCTTCCTTAATAATCATGACAGAACCCTAAAAATTTACTTGAATATTTTATCGCTTCGTATTCAAAAACTGACGACGGCATAGGCGGGCCCTGTTTTGTG